TAAGGCACTTGACTGCTAACCAGAAGGCTGGCAGTTCAAACCCACCAGCCACTCCTTGGAAGGAAGGTTGGGCAATCTACTTCTGTAGTGATACCGCCTCAGACACCCAAGGAGGGGTTGCTATGAGTCGGGTCCAACTGGACAGCACATAACAGTAACAACAACAAGTAAAAGGTTTGGTGAAAATGGAACAGTGGTCGTAACTAAGTGAAAAGCACAAGAGTATAATTCCAATTATTTATTATTTTTTTAATTCTGCAATACATGGTATACATGTAAAAGGGTACATAGAGTATTAAAAAGAAAATCTAAAAGAAACATACCAATATGTTAATAAAGCAGATCTCTAGGCTGTGTGGTTATGGATACGTTTTGCTTGGTTCTGTTCTTCAGTGTTTTCCAAGTCTTCCACACATACAGCATGTATTACTTTCATAAAAAGGAAAAAAAAAAAAGGTTACTTAAAAAAATTACAGGTTAAGTCAAATTGGCTGTGTAAAATAGTTACCTGTTCTCTTCCCCTCCAATATACAACATAAAAAGCTACTTAACATACACAATGGTTTTGTTGAGTAAGAAAGGGAAAAGATAAAATGTTCTAAGAAAATTGCTTTGCCCTAAAATGCAGAAGTTCAAAGTTAAAATGAGGGTCAACATTGACTAGAAGCAACATTTATTTTCTCCAATGTTTCTAGCATGTAGAAGCTGCATTCACTTATTATTAGTTCATTTGATTACTGGAGTTCTGGTAGCGTAGTACCTAAGGCACTTGACTGCTAACCAGAAGGCGGGTGGTTCAAACCCACCAGCCACTCCTCGGAAAGAAGATGGGGCAATCTACTTCCGTAGTGATACTGCCTCGGAAACCCAAGGAGGGGTCGCTATGAGTCGGTCCGACTCCACGGCATATAACAACAAGTTTACTAACTTAAAAAGCATTATCTCCTAGGAAATAAAATATTCATTAGGAATGGCGTCTACGATGTTCAAAGTTTGCAGGGTTTTACGGATAAACTTTAAGGCACTTGACTGCTAACCAGAAGGCTGGCGGTTCAAACCCACCAGCCACTCCTGGGAAGGAAGATGGGGCAATCTACTACGCAGTGATACTGCCTCGGAAACCCAAGGAGGGGTCGCTATGAGTCGGGTTCCACTCGACGGCACATAACAACAACAACAACAACTGATAAACTTTAAAATACTGTATCACACTCATAGAGGGGAGTGAAAGAATACACCAATCCCTGGTATTGACAAATCTTACACTCCCCTAAGAGAAGTTTCTGCGTTCTCTTAGTCTCCAGCACATTGGAGGTGTAGGTATTTGATAATAGACAACTTAAATGGATGGCAAGCAAATTTTTCGTTAGAATAACTCACTGCCGCTGAGTCAGTCTTGACTCATAGCGACCCCTCCCTGGGTTTCCCAGGCGGTATCACTATGGAAGTAGATTGCCCAACCTTCTTTCCAAAGAGTGGCTGGTGGGTTTGAACCGCCAGCCTTCTGGTTAGCAAATGCCTTAGGCATTATGCCACCAGAGCTCCTTTCGTTAGAATACTTCTAGCTAAAACTTCTACCTTAGAAACCGTAATACAATGAGTGACTCTCGAGGTCATAAAACTCAACGCTAAGCAAACCCAAGACCTTTCTATGGTTATCTAGAAACCATAGAAAGCAAGTCTTCTCCATCACCCACCATAGTAACAGATAACTCTGAGACTAGGTATAATTCTCGGCGTCAGCAAGTCAGAAATTACACTCAGTTCTCATTTCCGCGCAGGAGCAGCACGTGTAAACATTCTGTGAAACTCACGGTAAGACACGACCGATTCCATGAGCAGGGACTATAAGGCAACAGGAATAAAAGAGGGAAAAGGAAACATCTCTTCTAAGATCATGAAAGAACATTAAGTACCTAAAAACACGAAAAAAGGACGTTAAATTTCCTTGCTGAAACGGAACCTTCTGACACACTACATTTCAGCCCGACAGCCGCGGAATCACTTTCACTTCCTAGTTGACTCCTTCCGGCGTGACGCTAGCTCCCGGCTCCTCTTCCGTCTCAATTAGTGCCTGAGAACTATTCCTTGTGTTAACAGAGGAGTCACAATAGAAAAACAACAACGCCATATTAAAAAAAAAAAAAAAAATCTCAATAGAAAATCAAGCGCCGCATCTCTTCGAGTACGCGCTGGTGGCGTGGTGGAGAGGTGAGGGTGGGGATGGGATTAACCACAACGCCCAAGGACCGCCTGCGAGAATCCTGGGAGCTGTAGTTTATCCGCAGCCAGATCCCCGCGCACCGCGCCGCACAAAAGGTGGAGTGAGTTTGGTTTTCACATTTACCCGCAAACCCAAAAGAGAAGTTCTCAATAGTTTTGGTGAAGAGATCAAAATTCACAATATATTGTATGTGAAATATCCCACAATACCGATTTCACGAGGATATTTTAATAAGTTACGATCACATATATAAGAGGGAGCACTAATCATAAATGCAAAATAATTAACATTTAATACCTACTTGTCTCATACCAGTAAATACCTTAAGTGGTTTAAATCTATTCATTTAATCCTCTGAACCACCCTGTTGTTGTTAGGTGCCATCGAATCACCTCCGACTCACAGCGACCTCTTGTACAGCAGAAGGAAACACTGCCTGGTCCTGTGACAGCCCCACAATCTTTGCTATACCTGAGCCCATCGTTGTAGCCACTGTGGCAATCCATCTCGTTTAGGGCCTTCCCCTTTTTGGTTGTCCCCCCACTTTCCAAGCATGATACCCTTCTCCGGAATGGTACCTGTTGACAACATGACCAAAGTAGGTGAGACGAAGTCTGGCCATTCTCGCTTCCAAGGAGCATTCTGGCTGCACCTCTTCCAGGACAGATGAGTTCTTTTAGTAGTCCATGATACTTTCAGCATTATTCGCCAACAACACAACTCAAAAGCATCAACTCTTCTTTGGTCTTCCTTTTTCATTGTCCAGCTCTCACATATACATAAGGCGATTAAAAATACCATGGCTTGTGTCAAGCGCACCTTAGTCTTCATGGAAACATCTTTGCTCTTCAGCACTTGAAAGAGGTCCTTTGCAGCAGATAAGCCCAATGCTGTACAACATCTGATATCTGGACTGCTGCTTCCATTGGTGTTGATTGTAGAACGAAATATGAAGTCTTTGATGCCATGCATGATTCTTTGTTGAGAATTTTTTTTTAATATGGCGTTGTTCTTTTTCTTTTGTGACTCCTCTGTTAGCACAAGGGTAAATTGTGAGGATTTTTATTTTCTTTATATTGGATTATGGTGTAATCCATACTGTAGACTGTAGTCTTCAATCTTCATCAATAAGTGTTTCAAGTCATCCTCACTTTCAGTGAGCAAAGTTGTGTCGTCTCCATAATGCAGGTTGTTAATGAGTCTTCCTCCAATCCTGATGGCACATTCTTCTTCGTATAGTCCAGCTTTTCAGATTATTTGTTCAGCAAACAGATTGAATAGGTATGCTGAAAGGATACAACCCTGACACACTCCCTTCTTGATTTTAAACCGTGCAGTATCCCCTTGTTCTTGTCTATGTACAGGTTGCTCATGAGGACAATTAAGTTTTCTGGAATTCCCATTCTTCTCAATGTTATCCATAATTTGTTATGGTCCACACAAGTAAACATCTTTCTGGTATTCTTTGCTTTGAGCCAAGATCCATCTGACATCAGCAATGATATTCCCATTCCACATCCTCTTCTGAATCCAGTTTGCACCTCTGGAAGTTCTGTGTCAATATACTGCTGCAACTGTTTTGAATAATCTTCAGTAAGATTTTACTTGCATGTGCTATTAATGATATTGTTTGATAATTTCCACATTCTGTGGGATCACGTTTCTTTGGAATGGATACAAATATGGATCTCTTCCAGTTAGTTGGCCAGGTAGTTGTCTTCCAAATCTCTTGGCATAGCTGAGTGAGTGCCTCCAGTGCAGCATCCATTTGTAGAAACATCTCAGTGGGTATCCCATCAATTCCTGGAGCATTGTTTTTCACCATTTCCCTCAGTGCAGCTTTGACTTCTTCCTTCAATACTATTGGTTCTTGATCATATGCACTTCTGAAACGGATGAACATCAACTGATTCTTTTTGGTACAGTGACTCTCTGTATTCCTTCTGTCTTCCTTTGATGTTTCCTACATCATTCAATATATTGCCCATAGAATCTTTCAACACTGCAACTCGAGGCTTCAATTTCCTCTTCAGTTCTTTCAGCTTGAGAAATGCTGAACGTGTTCTCCCCTTTTGGCTTTCCAACTCCATGTCTTTGGACATATCATTATAATGATTGACTTTATCTTCTTGAGCTGCTCTTTGAAACCTTCTGTTTCGCTCTTTTATCTCGTCATTTCTTCCATTTGCGTTAGCCACTCGCCATTCAAGGGTAAGTTTCAGAGACTCTTTTGACATCCGTTTTGTTCTTTTCTCCCTTTCCTGTCTTTTTAATAACATTTTGCTTTCTTCATGGATGATGATCTTGATGTCATCCCACAGTTCCTCTGGTTTTCCATCATTGGTGTTCATTGCATCAAATCTATTCTTTAAATGGTCTCTAAATTCAGGAGGGATATTATCAAGGTCCTATATTAGCTTCTGTGGACTTGTTTAAATTGTCTTCAACTTCAACTTCAACTTGCATATGAGCAGTTGATGATCTGTTCCACAATCAGCTCCTGGCCTTGTCTTGGCTAAAGATATTGAGCTTTTTCATCACCTCCTGCCACAGATATAGCCAATCTGATTCCTTTGTCCTCCATCTGGTGAAGTCCATGTGTATAGCCACTGTTTGTGTTGTTGAAAAAAGGTATTTGCAATGAATAAGTTGTTGGTCTTGCAAAATTCTATCATACGATCTCCAGCATTATTTCTATCTCCAAGGCCAAGTTTTCTAACTACCAGAGTGAATCTTTGTTTCCAACTTTTGCATTCCTATCACCTGTGATAATCAGACATCTTGATTGCATGTTTGGTCAATTTCAGGCTGCAGAAGTTGATAAATATCTTCAGTTTCCTCATCTTTGGCTTTGGTGGTTGGTGTGTAAATTTGAATAATAGTAGTATTAACTGGCTTTCCTCGTAGGCATATGGATATTGTCCTATCACTGACAGCATTGTACTTCAGGATAGATCTTGAAGCATTCTTTGTGATGATGAATGCCATGCCATTCCTCTTCAATTTGTCATTCTTGGCGTAGTAGGTCATATGGTTATCTGATTCAAAATGGCCAAAACTGGTACATTTCAGCTCACTAATGCCTAGGATATCGATCTTTATGTATTCCATTTCATTTTTGACAGCTTCCAATTTTCCTAGATTTGTACATTCCATGTTCCGATTATCAATGGATGTTTGCAGCTGTTTCTTCTCATATTGAGTCATGCCACTTCAGCAAATGGAGGCCCCAAAAGCTCTACTTTATCCATATCATTAAGGTAGGTTCTACTCCGATGAGGCAGCTCTTTTCCTGACATATGTTGAGCACCCTCTGATCTGAGGGGCTCATCTTCCATCACTGTATCAGACAATGTTTCAGGGCTATTCCTAAAATTTTCCAGTAATGTATCAGTGTTTCACTATGCAAAAATGGCAAGGAGGCCACATGTTCTGACCTCCTCTAATCCCACAAGAGGAAGACAGAATCACCATCAATAGCCCAAGGCCTATTCCTGCCAGGCCAGACATGCTGCCTCCCTCCAGCCCTTTCTCCAACCATTCCTGCCAAAGCACCCACCACCTCTCTCCTGGGTTCCATAATTTGCTGCAGTGGCCACACAGAACTCACAGATTATGGAGTTTATTAGGGAAGCACCACGCTACAATTCAAGTTCAGGAAAAATGCTCAGTCTCTCTCCCAGCCCACCGTCTCTCAGCCAAGTCTCTCACAGTCTCTCCCCAAGCAGTGCATGTCCCTCAATGTCTTACTCAGCAATACGTGTCTCTTGTGTCTCTTTTCCAACAGTATGTGTCTCTTTCAGTAGTGCGTGCCTCTTTCAGCAGTGCATGTCTCTTTCAGCAGCACGTCTTCCTCAACCAGCAGTCAGAGAGAGTTCTTCCTCTAGGAGGCCTCCTTTTGAGCTTGGCAGAGTGGCCAAACATAGCATCAGAACTCTCAGCACCTGAGAGTGAGCCTCCCATGACATTGCATTGTGCCACGCCCAACAGAAATAACCCAGGTGGATAACATTTACAATCAGGAGCTCCTCAGTTGCTCATTCCACCACTGAGTTTACAATGACTTATGGGTAGAAAAGCCACACTAAGTAATTTACTACACCACACACTACTATTCATAAGGTTTTTACTGGCCAATTCTTTGCGCAGTGCATGGCCTCTTTCTTCTTCCGAACCTGTCTCAGTTTGGAAGCTCCACTGGAACTGGTCCACCATGGGCACCCCTGCTGGCACAGCCTCCAGCCTCACATCAACATGCAAGCCACTGCCAAAAGTCAATCAAGGTAGTCGGTCTCAGTTGTCTCTAGCTCTTAAATTCTGATAAAGCAAATCAAACCAAATCCACTAACATATAGTCGATTCCGACTCATAGTGACCCCCATTGGTTTTTTTTGTTTGTTTGTTTGTTTGTTGGTTACTGAAGTAGATTGCCCAGTCTTGCTTCTGTGGAATGGCTGGTGGGTTTGAACCACCAACCTTCTGGTTAGCAGTCAGATGCCACTTTGAACTTGGACTTAAAGCCTCCTAATTGTAAGAATAAACTCCTGTTTTGTTAAGGCCATCCCATTTGTGGTGTATTTCTTGTCAGAGTGGCGCTAGGTAACCAAAACAGGCACTGTACTACCAGAGCTCCTTAAGTTCTGATACTGCCCCCAAAACAAAACAAACAACTCCCTTAGGAACATTCAATCATTCATCCAGTAAGTAT